TATACGTCCTAATCCCTAGGGACAAGGTCTGTGCTTCCTTAGTCCTGTGGGTGTGCCACCTTCTGGTTCAAGACTGAATAGGCATACAGCTGTAATGTAAACTGCGAATTCTCCTTAACCCTTTGACACCAACATGACCCCCCCACACACACACACACTTATGTGAATTGCAGCATACATATTTAACGATTGTCGACTGTAAGAAATTTCTTAGTACACTGTTAGGTGCATCATAAACTAAGATCTTAACTTTCGAAATAGAAGTCCTCAAAGGAGGAACGGAGGCTTCCAGAAACTTCCTGGAGACCTGTCCAAGGCTGCTCAGCAGAACAGAACAGGGTCAGTTTTACGCAGTGGAAATTCACAAGCTGTTTCTTGTATACTGCATTCTAGTCCAGACAGTGGCTAGGAAAGGCAGGCAACAGAGGCCAGAGGGTTTTGCTGGTGGGAGCAAACATAAAAGAACAGAGCATGTGCTCTCAGCCATAATAAAGTTGCATTGTGTGAACTTCAGGGAGACGATATTGACCACCTGAGTTAAGGACCAATAGGAGCCAGGATAGCATCCTCTCTATGATGGCTTTAACTAGTCCCCATGGCAGCTGTGTATGGAGCTGAGCCTTTGGCTCCTAGGTGACTGTGCTGGGAGAAGAGTGGTGGGAGAGGCCTTCAGTCAGGATGGGGTTAAAAATGAGCGGACATGCTGTGGCTGCGGTGGGGATGTATTGGATTCAGGTCTGAAGGGTGTTTGAAGTTGCTCTAGGTAGAAGAGCCAGTGGATGGCAGGAAAAATGGGCCAGGATTGTAGGAGAGGCAGTCAGATTCAACTCTTATTTTTCTGGTGGCAGTAGCTTTCATTATCACTTTGTCTTAGGAAAGTTTTCTTACTGACTCTTAAGGCAGAAACAGTCAAGATTCCTAACAGGTTAGCCATCAAACCGACATTAACAAGGACTTAATTCCTAACTAGTGATGCTCTGCTGCCTGGGGGTGATCTGCTGTTCTTAAAAATCTCTCCAGCACATTGAATGATCATATATTGTTTTGGATGAGACTTCCAAAATCACATTAATATAGGGTGTAATGGTTGCTTCTGTGAAGGGATAAAGAGTTGAAATTTCGCTTTGCTGCTTTTTTCATCAGTGTTACAGATTAGACATTACATACAATTGAAGGATTTTATTTTTCCAGGAGATGAAATTCTTTACAAACTTGAACATCTGTTTACACATTTAAATATTGTTGCAATATATATGTGTATGTTAAATGTTAAGCATACTAAATACATTTTACAGAAAAAAGTAACTTCAGAGTTAGACTCTGGGTAGTTGGTACATGGGTCACAGGTACTTCTGTAGACCTGTGAAGGGTGAATTTCTAAGAGGCCCGTCTCTCAGTAGCCCCTGGATTCACTGAAGCCAGCAGTGTTTTATATATATGAAGAATTTCACTAATTGAGTTGAAATTTAGAATATAAGATGGTGTTCAGCAATTCCTACACACACCCAAGTTTGAAACCTACTGGATTAGCTTGAACTGTGAGTTTGAAATTATTTTTAAAATAAAAGCAAAATACTGCAAAGAAGGCAAGAAAGACAAACACTTACACTGGGTATCTTTGCTTTGGCTTCTAGGCCAGCTTCAATCCTGGGAAACCAACCCTTTCTCTCTGTTGTCCTAACAGTCTCCTCTTTCTCCCTTCTGCTCAGTGGTGACTAACTCTCACTCAGTCTTTGGTTTACTCCCCTTGTTTTTCTTCTGAATGTTGTTCCCTTAGTCTCTGCAGACTCCTCAAAGGATGCTGTGATCTTGGTATAACAGATACTCTTGGTTCTCTAGTTGTACTCTCCCTGGTAATCTCTCATCTGAAAAGGACAGTATACTTACTTCCAGATTCTCAAGCTTGTTAAAGCACACTTTGTGGCACTCACCCAGACAGTTTATGGATGTGTTGATCTGGAGTGGACAATATTTGATGCTGCTGGTCTGTGGGTCATTTTGATATGTTCAGATGGTATGTAGGCATTTCAGAAGAAGAAAAACTACATTTGTGGTGAGGCAGGGATGGAGGAAGAGATGGGGGTGCACTTATTGTGAATAAGTCCAGAGAGAGTCGAAAAGGTGTGTGTGGGGGGGGTGGGGAGGGAACCTTGTGCCTGATGGTACCTTTTAATAAGAAATGTCTCTGTTTCATTCTAGTCTGAAAACTGGTTTTTTAAAATGGAAGCCAGACTATGACAGTGCCGCTTCTGAATATGGAAAAGCAGGTATTTGTGACTTAAGTCCCCTTCATGTTGTGTATGGTGTTAACATGGTCTTAGCATAATACTTTCAATGCTTTATGTCAGACTTTTACTAGTTAAAACAGAAAAGCACAGCAGAAGAATTGCACAAGCCTTGACATATTCCTGGTCTTACTCTTTTTAGATGTGGCGAGAGCTGAGTCAGATTCTGGTCCATGGTCTTGATAGCAGACATTAGGGTAGTGACAGCAGTTCAGCTGTTAGCATTGCTTCTGTGGGTGCCAGCTTCATTCATGGGTATCCATAAGTGTAGCTTAGTCCTGTCTTAGACTTCTACTGTTGAATAGAAGTTTTGTATGGATTTTTGTTAAATTTTTAACTAGTCTCATTGGAGGAGATCTGCAAATCGTGTTTTCCCACATTAATGTTTGCTAACTTCAATTTGAGAATCAATTAAGCTGTATGCACATTTCAGTAAATGAACCTGCATATAAGTATAAAACATCTAAAATGTGCAGCAAAGGGAATTCAGTATAAGTTTCGCGTTGTATTAAGGAATGATATAATATTTCTGAACATCTGCCATCATTTTGGTATAAAGTAATAAAACTTAATTTGAGGCTGGTGAGACGGCTCAAAGTGAAAATGCTTGCTGCCAAGCCTGACGACCTTGAGTGTGGATCTACATAGCATGTGTAATAAAAACTTAAAACCACCACAGATTTGAAGTTCCTCAAGTATATTTTTATATGTGATTATATTGGTGAGCCTGGTTTTGAGATCTAGGGCAAGTATTTTTCATCAAAGTTTAGTTTAGTTTCAGTTTATCTAAAAAAAAAAAAAAACAAAATAAAAAAACAGGTAACTACCATTGTTATGTACAGAGGGTTTATTTTCTATTGGAAAGGAAAACAGAAGTCTTTAGTCCTGTTTTTAAATATTGCATATGCTTTGTTTCTTGCATTGTACAAATTGATTGTATTTTGTATTTAAAGATAAATTTGTTTAAAATCGAGCTTTATATGGATGTTGTGGGACACTTCATAGTTGTTTTTTTTAACCAGAGATATATTTTTCAAGTTCCCTCTATGAAGGAAATTTAACAGCTTGCTTTATGTCTCCAGGTCTGTGTACTGCTTCCAGTAGTAAATATTCTGAATCAGGTTCCCTACTAAAGTGCTCTTGGTTTACTTTCCATAATAGCGCATGCAGAATAGAACCATGTGTGGGAATCTTTAAAAAACACAGTAGGGACAAGCAGGGATAGGAGTAGTTGCAGTATCTTGTTTGTTTTTAACACTTGGTTTAAGAGTTCTCTGAGAGTATGCTTTTAAGAAATAACAGTTGAGAACACTTACGTAGAGGGGAGGCTGAGACAGAAGGATCTGCCCAAGTTGGAGGTCAGTCTAGGCTGTGTAGCTGAGTTCCAAGCCAGTGGGTGGTACATGTGTGGAGACCCTGTTTCAGAATGACAAAACAAACAAAAGACACCACTTTTCTTAAGTCAGTATGCTTTTTACTTTCCATAATCCACCCTTGGTGAGTTTTCCAAAGACTGTAATACTGTCATCCTGATTGCTGCGCCCTTGTGAGCTCCCCTTGTAAAGCAGCCTGCAGTGTGGGTTAGTCTTCAAGCAGCATAGATAGCTAAATAGAAAAAGCAAACGACTCATTGGCACTTAAAGACTGTGCCCTAAGCAAAGATTTATTACAATACTGATGTGTCGATCGGGCTTTGGTTTGTAATTTAGTAGTGAACTGGACCTGTGGAATCAGCACCAATGTGTGGCTAAAAACCAACAATTAAAACTGTAACACGATTCTAATAGTGTACTCAGAAAGATTATAATTTGCTTTAGGTAAAAGTAATATTTCACACTTTTATGAGACCTCCTGTTTGAGATCAGTGTATTTTGTAATATTTCACATATGATGCAGATTTGGGTAATGATTCATTTGAGGGCTGTTAATGATGGAAATAGAAGGTCTTACTTTTTTTTTCTTTTCCTGTTTCAGCTGTTGCTTTTAAAAATGCCAAACAATTTGAGCAAGCAAAAGATGCCTGTCTACGGGAAGCTGTTGCCCATGAAAATAACAGGGCGTATCTTTTTTAGCTTTAAACAGAAATGGAACAACTAGATTTTGACACCTTTTTCCTGTTATAAATTTAGTGTTTGAAGTAAAATGCTTTGCAGTTAGAAAAGAATGAACAGTGTGTGTGCTTTAAAGCCCTTGGGAATATTCAGTGAGTGTCCTGGGTGCATTTTGGTGCAGGCAATCCCACTTGCCTGTGGTTTCCTCCTGCTCCTGGCTTTGTTGACAGGGATTTGCCTTGAGATGAAGATTTATAAACATTCTAGAACGAAATGTTCTTGGAGTATCTTAAAGGCTATCATTTATAAATGTCCATTTTATCTCACACACAAAACATAGTCTTAGTATTCTTGCATTTCATCCTGTTGATATGTAGTAGTTTAAAGTTCTTTGCAGTGTTTTGTCAGGGTTTGGGTTGTCAGAGCCATCAGCAGTGCTGGGGTATCACTCCTCTTCTCCCAGGATTTGTCTTTTGAAATCGGATGGACCAATGACTTGGTTAACTGTCTTTGGAAAGTAGATCTCTGAAAACCATTGATTTCTTCTTTTTTCCTTAATTTTGACATTGTTATATCCATTCAGCCTTTTTCATGCTGCCAAGTAAGTAATTTTTCACCCTTTTTGATGTGTTTGCAGATGTTTTAAAAGTTGGTGTTTTGCTCTAGGCTGCGAACTTTTCTTCAAACTCTTGTGTTTTTTAAATTCTTATATTAATTTAATTGAAATAATTATTTTCATTTGCTTTAGTCATCAGCTGAACTTTAAAGGCCAAGTGTCTCCTAATTATAAGAAAGGTTTTTAAATTAAATTCTGTATAATATTTTGCTTGTGAAAACACAAGTGACTTGGAAGTCATTTTTCTTCCTTTAGTTATTGGTTGCTAAGCGCCCGTGGAAGAGATGTGATCTTTCTCCTTTTGTGGAGCATATTTATTTGTTTGAAAACTTAGAATTGGGTTTGTCTTTTAGCCTTTCTGAGGCTGATTTAATTTTGCTGAATAAAATCAATTCAGTGTTTGGTGTTCCTAAGGAGTCCTCCCTCTAAAAAGTAAATGAATAAAAGAAAAAGCAAGGAAGGAACTCCAGTGTGGCAGTATGGGTCTGGAGTGGCATGCTGTGCTTGAACTCTTCTGCTGGTCACTTCCTGACCAGCATCTTCATAGGTTTCTCCCTCTTACTTCATTAAGGTCTCATCAGAGACATTGTATTCTCTTTGCAGAGCTTATGAGCAAGCTGGCATGATGTTGAAGGTTAGTAATATTGTATCAAAACAGCTGTGGAGGTAAAGTGAATTAGCAAACTGCCAAGGTAGAGTCATGTTGATGTTGACAAGTTTCCTCTCTGTAAAGCAAGAGGCAGTGAGGGTTGTGGGAGTGGAAGCAAAGGCTATGTCAAGATGTCTTGCCCAGGGTAGTACTAATTGGACCCATAGTGAGAGCATCCTGTGGCAGTTAGGATAGAGTATTGAAAGTGCCATGTGAACTGAAATGTATTGGGAGGGAAGATGGAGGCTGTAGGCACTGTAGCCAGGACAGAGGGTGCTGCTGAAGGCAGCTGCATGAGGTTTCCCTGCATCTGAGAAGTGGAAGGCTTCTGCATGTAGTAAAGTTTTACAAGGATGTTTGTTTGTTTTGTTAAATTACTTGTAGGTTATGGAAAGAAAAATTAGCTTTATAATTTTTTGGTTTTCTAAAAGTCAGGCTGGAAAAGAGAGTTCCAAACTAGCTATTGCCACTTATCTTACTCCTTTTTAATGAAATAATGGACTATTTTGACCAATATGCCACATTTGTACTTCTTAATAGCAGATTACTATCCAGTTGTAGTGAGATGGTGTGTGTGTGTGTGTGTGTGTGTGTGTGTGTGTGTGTGTGTACACAAGCCAGAGCTCAACCTTGGATGTCTTCAGCTACCTACCTTGTTTATTGAGACAAGGTCTCTGGCTTGCTGCTCACTAATTATGCTAAACTGGCTGATTGGTAGTTCCTGGCATGCACCTGTAGATATACTTCTCCAGAAGTAGATCTACTTCTCCAGAACTGAGATTACAAGCACCTATCATATGTTGGGCTTTTTGTTGTTGATTTTTAGACCTAGATCTCAGATGGTACCTACTCTATACTACTGTGTGTGTGTGTCAAAACGTAACATGTGTAGGTAAAATAATTGAATTGTTAAAACTCCACTTCTTAAGTTGAGACATTTTCTGCCCCATGCTGCATGCGTTTCCTGAAGGAGATGCAGAAACTGCCTGAGGCCGTCCAGCTGATCGAGAAAGCCAGCATGATGTACCTGGAGAATGGCACCCCAGATACAGCAGCTATGGCCTTGGAGCGTTCTGGAAAGTAAGTACACACAGCTGTTGTGGGATGCCCTGGCTTTGCAGAGGACTCCTTTGTCTTGAAAAGTTCTTTAAGAAGCAAGTTTCTTAATTCTCACAAGTTGTCTTCTCTGTCTAATTCAGGCTCATAGAAAATGTAGATCCAGAAAAGGCTGTACAGTTGTATCAGCAGACAGCTAATGTGTTTGAAGTAAGTTAGAATTTTATTTGTTTCTTTAATTACTCATAATATTTTCATTCATAATATATAGGAAAAGAAAAATACAGTGGATTCTTTTTAAGGTTTTTCTGTGTCCACAGCCCAACTCTATTCCTTTTTTCTTCTAGAGGTTAGTGAATGGGCTAGCAGCTTTGGTGCTACCATCCATGGCATTGCTTTATGCAGTTGTTATGGAAGGGTAAGAAGAGTTCCACATTAACCCTGCCGACACTCCCTTTTCTTTGATTCCTCCAGAATGAGGAACGCCTCCGGCAGGCAGTTGAACTTCTAGGAAAGGCCTCCAGACTGCTAGTACGAGGACGAAGGTATGGCTTTCAAAACTGTATGCCCATACATCATGTGCATTTTGAATCTACATTTCAGACTTATACATAACCTTGGTTGGATCTAGTTTATCTACACCTAGACAAACAATGGAAACATGGTCAATTTCTAAAGAGTAGGCACATGGAATGAAAACCTGTTTTTCTATCATAAAATTCCAAAATGTATCGTGCTTTTGTTGCCTAACAGTAGTTCAGTACAATGGAAGAAGAGTTATCTTGATCTGCCATTGCACTCTGCTTTATGTTTTTCTCTTGGAATAAGTGACAAAAGCATCCTAAATACCCAAGATACTTGAGTTTTATCATTAAATGGGATTGCCTTAGTTATCCTGTGTTTTTTTGTGTTTCCATGTGAAGTTAAAGATGGTTTTTTCAATTTCTGTGAAGAATTGTGTTAGGATTTTGATGGGGGTTTCATTGAATTTATAGATTTCTTTTAGTAGAGTGGCTGTTTTTACAATATTAATCTTACTGATACAAGAGCATGGGAGGTCTTTCCATCTTCTGGTGTCTTCAGTTTCTTTCCTCAATAGCTTAAGGAAGGTCTTTCATTTCCTTGGTTGGAGTTACCCCAAGGTATTCCGCACACATGTGTGTGTGCGTGTGTGTGTGTGTGTGTGTGTATGTTTGTTGTGAAAGGTACTGTTTCCCTTACTTCTTGCTCAGTATATTTGTCATTTGCATATAAGAAGGCTATTGATTTTTATGTGTTAGAAATTGTTTATCTGCTGTAGAAGTTTCTAGGTGGAGTTTTTGGGGTCTTTTATGTACAAAAATCATCTGCAAATAAATATATTTGATTTCTTCCTTCCCTGTTTGTATCCCCTTGATCTCCTCCTTTGTCTTATTGCCCTAGCTAAGACTGTAATTACTGTATTGAATATGTATGGAGAGAGTGGGCAACCTTGTCTTGTTCCCAACTTTAGTGGAAATGTGTTGAATTCTCTCCATTTTAGTTGGTGTTAGCCATGGACTTGCTCTAAATTGTCTGTATTATGTTGAGGTTATGCCCCTCATATCCCCACTCTCTCGTACTTTTATCATGGAAGGGGTGGTGGGTTTTGTTGAAGGCCTTTTCTTTATCTAATGAGGTGGTCATATGGTCCTTGCCTTTCAGTTTGATTAATACAGTAGATAATATTTATCAATTTATGTATGTTGAGCCTGCTTTTTTGGAATGAAGCCAATTTTATCATAGTAGATAATCTTTTCATATGTTCTTGGATTTGGTTTGCAAGTATTTTATTGAGAACATTTACATCTGTATTCATAATAGGTATTGGACTATATAGTGGCCTTATAAAAAGAATTGAGAAATTTTCTTCAGTTTCTATTTTGTGGAATAAATTGAAACATATTGGCATTAATTCTTTGATGGTCTGATAGAATTCTTTGCTGAATACAACAAGGCCTAGGATATGTTTGGTTAGATTTCTTATTTACTGCTTCTATATTACGAGGGGTTATGGGTCTCTTCAGTTGCTTGTATCATCTTGACTTCACTTAGGTCACATGTACCAAGACATTCATCCATTTCTTTTAGGTTTTACAGTTTAGTATATTAGAAATTTTTGAAGTATATCCTCATGTTTCTCTGAATTTCCTTAGTTTCTGTTGTAAAGTTGCTCTTTTCATGTCTAATTTTGTTCATTTGGATCTTCTCTCTTTCTTTTAGTTAATTTGACTAATGTTTTGTCAATCTTGTTGCTTTTTCTCCAAGAACCAACTCTTCCTTTCATTTATTCTTTTTATTAGTATTTTTATTGTTGTTGTTTCTGTTTCATGAATTTCAGCCTTGAGTTTTATTTTTTCTTCTGTCTACTCCTTGGGTTTTTCTTCTTCTTCTTCTTCTTCTTCTTCTTCTTCTTTTTCTTCTTTTTTTTGTGTGGAGCTGACAGGTGTGTCATTGAGTTACTAATATGAGATCTTTAGTTTTTTGATGTAGGTATGAACTTGCCTCTTAGAATTGCCTTCATTGTGGTCTAGAGGTTTGGATATGTTCTGTTTTCATTTTCATTCAATCCTTAAAAGTTTTTTCTTTTTAATTTCTTTTTAATTTTCTTGTTGATTTCTGCTTTGACCCCAAGTTGTTCAGTTTCCATGAGATGATGTACTTTCTGCTGTGTCTGTTGTTTTGATTCTCAACTTTAGTCCATGGTGGTCAGATATGGATAGGCTGTTTCAGTTTTCTCCTATCTGTTGAGATTTGCTTTGTGGCTTTGCACACTATCAGTTTTGGGGGAAGTTCCATGAGCTGCTGAGGAGAAAGTAGATCCTTTAGAGTTTGGGTGGAATGTTCTATAGATGTCTGTCAGGTCCATTTGATTTATGCCATTATTTAGCTACAGTGTTTCTCTGTTTAGTTTTTGTGTGGATGATCTGTCTGTTGGTGAGAGCTGGGTATTGAACTCACCATCACTGCCTGAGGATCAACATGTGATTTTTAGCTCTGGTAGTATTTCATTTATGAACCTAAGTATGTACTGACTATGTACTATCTCTTCTCTTCTGATTAGTTACATTGTGAAGTCCTTTTTGTCAAATATTAAAATGGCTACATCTGCTTGACTCTTTGGTCCATTTGTTTAGAATAACCCATCCTTTAATCTCAAGGTGATGTCTGTTTTTGATGGTGAAGTCTGTTTCTTGGATGCAACAGAAAGATGAATCTTGGGTTTTTAATCCAATCTGTGAGTCTGTGTCCTCTTATGGAGGAATTAAGACCATTAAAGTTGAGACTTATTAATGAACAGTGTTTAGTGATTCCTGTAAGATGGTATCTCAGAGTTGTTTAGATTTTCATTTCCCTGATGGCTAAGGATGATGAGCACTTATGTGTCTTTCAGCCATTTTAGATTCCTCTATTGAGAATTGTCTATTTAGTTCTGTACCCCATTTTTTAAATGGATTATTTGGTGTTTTGGAGATTAGCTTCTTGAATTCTTTGTATTTTGGAAATCAGCGCTCTGTCAGATGTGGGGTTGGTGAATATCTTTTCCCATTCTGTGAGCTGCTGTTTTGTCTTGTTGACTGTGTCCTTTGTCTTACAGAAGCTTCTCATTATCAGAGGTCCCATTTATTAGTTGTCGATCTTAGTGTGCTACTGGTGTTATGTTCAGAAAGCGGTCTCCTGTACCAATTTGTTCGAAGTGGTATCTACCTTCTCTTCTAGGAGGTTCAGTGTTGCTGAATTTATGTTGAGGTCTTTGATCCATTTGAACTTAAGTTTTGTTCATGGCAATAGAGATGGATCTATCTGCAGTCTTCTACACACCAGCATCCAGTTGTGCCATCACCATTTGTTGAAGATGCTTTCTTTTTTTCCATTGTATAATTTTAGCTTCTTTGTCAAAAATCAGGTGTTTGTAGGTGTGTGGGTTAATATCAGGGTTCAGTTGGATTTCATTGGTCTACCTGTCTATTTTTGTGCCAGTAAAACTTGGTCTTTTCATAGTGTCCTCAGTTTCCTGGATGTTTTGTGCCTGGATAATTTCTGGTTTGCCGTTTCTTTGATTGAGGTACCCATTGCTTCTACCTTGTCTTTAAGACTTTCTCTCTTCTATGTCTTGTAATCTGTTGGTGAGGCTGACCTCTTTTGTTTGACATCCTAAGTTTATCATTTCCAGTTTTATTTCAGGTTGAGTTTCCTTTAGTGATTCTATTTTTTATTCTATTTTCATATCTTGAAATGTTTTCATTATTTCATTCAGCTATTCATGGTTTTATGGTCTTCATTTAAGCATTTATTCATATCCTTCCTTAAGATCCTTGAAAGTATTTTTAATTGCTATTTGGAAATCCTTGTGCTTCAGGTAAATTGCTTTTCTCAAGGCCTATTGCAATATAGTTGCTGGCTTCTTCAGGCGGGGTTGGGGAGAGGGATTTCTTGGCTGGTCATGTTTGTGTTTTTGTGCTGGGGTTGGAGTTAAGATGTTAGAAGTGTTTCTTTTTTGTTGGTTTAGTGATCCATTCTTTGGTTGCTGTTATCTACCCTGGACCCTAAACAAATGTGATGACTGTAAGGTCTTTAGTAGAGACTGTTTCTGATGGTTGACAGATGTTACAAAGGAATGGAGATGGGCTAATACAAAGTCTAAGGGACTATAGGAAAGAACTAGGGGACATCAAGTCTGCAACAGTAGTTGGAGTCCCAAAGGAATGGAGAGAAAGGGAAGGAGAGGCTCCTACAGAGGACTAATAGTCAGACTGTACAGGCTGGCCCGGAGGTCGTGAAGGACAGTGAAAATAGCCTACTAGGGTTCCAGCCTAGTGTTCCTACTGGAGGTCCCTGGTAGAAAGTGACACAGAGAATGGAAATGGGCTAGAAGGAAAGCAGTATTTTTTTTTTTTTTTTTTTTAAAGAACATAGGATCTAAGGCACAAATAGTTCGATTCATAAAAGCTAGACTTTTGCCAATTTTTTTCTTAGATTTTATTTTACCTTAATTTATGTGTAGTAAATAATTTTCATTATTGAAATTCTATTTACCAAGTTCTCATTTAATAATATTTAAGACTTCAAAGAAATTTTTATTTAATTAAAATATAATTACATTATTTCCCCACTTCCTCTCCCTCCTCCAGCCCCTTCCATACTGTCATCCCTGCTCTCTCAAATTCATGGCCTTGTTTTCTTTAATTGCTGTTGTTACACACACACACACACAAGTAAATACAACCTGCTGAGTTTAGAGTTGCTACATTTTTTAGAGCCAACCTCTTGGTACTGGATAATCATTTAGGGGACTCATCTTGGAGGAAGACTAATTCTTCCTCTCACAGTAGACCTTAATTGCTTATAACTCTTTATCTAGGGGGTGGGGCCTTGCCTGCTGTTCTGCTGTTGGAGTTCCTATTGTGGCAGGAGGAGGGGCTTTAGAGAAAGAATAAGAGACCTTAAAGTGTCAGCAACTTGGGTTCTGGCCATCATTGGGAAGAGACAGAAAAAGGTAAAAGAAAAATTGCACTACACAGGTGCTTGTAGGGATGGCTGTGGAGAGTCAGGCATTTTAGAGAGAAGCCTGATGAGCAAAGCCAGTGAAAACACTGTTGTGGACCAGTTGGCAAAACCCTGTCCTCCAAGGTCTGTGATGCAGGGCAGAGTAGCAATGGCCTCTGCAGAGGGTTTTACACATGCCCTGTTTGACATTTCTTTCTTTTGTCTTTAGGTTTGATGAGGCTGCACTGTCTATACAGAAAGAAAAAAATATTTATAAGGAGATTGAAAATTACCCAACTTGTTATAAGGTATTCTTTGAATATGTCTGGTTCTGCTTTACTTTAGATAATTTTACACATTAGTATAAAATATTTAAGCAAAGATTCTGTGGATAGTTGTTTCTATAAAATAGTAATTCATGGTCTTATGTTTCTGACCATGACAGAGAAAGCCATCCTAGCCTACCTTCCTTACAATAGCAATACTCAACAAAATACAAAAAGAGACCTCCCTGAAACTGGAGGGACAAGGGAGAGTGTTTCCTGCCACCACCCCCTCCCCCCCCCACACTGTTGGTTAAGTTGAGCTCTAGTTGTGGAGCTGCAGCTGATGTGGCTCCAAGGGAGCCCTGGCCTCTGGCTGGTGGACCTGGCAGGGGGAGCCAAGAAAGCAGGGACAGATCCCAGGGAGGAGAGTGTGGGAGAAGGGCATCCCCTATATGTGTGGTTCATGGACAGCTTGGCTGTGTGTGCCCGGGCCAGACCCAAAGTAGAAGTCATGGCTCTGAGAACTGAAATAATACTGAAACCACTAAGTCTCATCCTGCCCATGAAAGTCTGGTTTACGAGACAGACCCCAAGATTACACCAAAGGATTCAAACAAGTCAGAACTACGGCCCACCAGAAGTCATCCATAGTCTGCATGAGCCCAGGATGGTCGAGTGTAGTTAAAACATCACACTTTTCCTGATAATTACAGCACCATATGCGGTGTAATGTTCACAGAAATCTAGGGACTAGTCCAGAATTACCCATCATACAAAAACCAGGAACAAAGACAAGTTACAACAGTACTGTGTCCTA